TGTTCTTTAAATGTGAGTTCCACAGTGAACTTCTCTATTTGCTGGAGATGGTGCGTTTTCCTGACTGTAAGAGAGCCACTAGGTGGGAGTATGTTATCTTAAAAGACGCTTGGTCAGCCCCGGCAGTGGTTATTTTGAAGGAGCTCTGCAACTAAAAAAGGAGTACTACAAGTTCACGTAGGGTAAGAATATTAAACAAGATTAAATGAATGCAAGCTTTAAAGCTGGAAGTTTGTGAATTGTTGCTTACATAAACTTTTGAGAACATATCAATACTCCATCTGTACCCGTACCCTGTCCCAGAGTGCTCACTGTTGCTTGTTGGTGGAGAATGATACGGGGCTAAACTCCTTGGATATTGCCAAATTCATTACTGATTTCCTGTGATGGTGAAAAATTTGGCCCTCATCTATAAGCTCAGGGTGCTCAAAGGTAGTAAAGTTATTAACAGTGTCTGCTTGTCTTTCTGCAGCTCTGGACTGAGAGTCCAGTTTTCCTAAAGATTAATGGGAGTAGTTTTGTTCACAGAAAAAGATCTCAGAAGCCAGCTGAACAGTGCATTGCCTAGACGAGCAAAAAGGTGGCAGAAACAAAAGTGGCAGCGCAAAAGCAACCATCTGTTGGCAGCTGCCTGAATAGATTTGAAAATCTACATTAAAAAAAAAAAGCTGCACAGTTTATGACCTGTAGGATTCTTCAAATCATAATTCTGTGTAATTCTGAGTTCAGTCATCGGGGGCTCATTTCTGAACATCGTTATTAAATTTTCATAGGTACAAGTTTTTGGGGAGGTCAGGGAATTGGTGGGAATACTTCATACTTTCTCTTGCTCTCTATGAAGACAGAAACAAAGCTCCTGTTGCTTTCAGCTGAAAGACACATAACCCAGTGATGCTGTTGTAATTAAGAAGCCTGGAGTACTACTTATTCAATGATAGATCAAATGGGATAAGCTGAGTTTTTTTAAGTAACTTCTCTTACTATTTTTTTAAATTAGGATCAAATGTTTCTTGTATAAATAGACATTTTGCTCACTTCCCATGTTCCCTTCCTACTCAATTATACTGTGAGCTCACAATTAATGTCACAAAGCCACTCTCTTTCCCATAAGAACAGACTATTGTTGCAAGCACAATTTTGTATTTAATTGCAGGATTGAGTCCTGTCTGTTAGAGAGCTTTTAATGCAGAATGAAAAATGCAAACTAGAAATTTACTGAGGGAAAGTAACTTCTGTAACTGGTTTGGGTAGATATTTTCAGTTTGCTTGTAAAAACCTATTTGCAAGTCATAAAAGCCTCACTATAATTTTGAAAAATGTTTCATGACTATGCATCAGCTCTACTGCCTGTGCAATTCTCAATGCTTTAACAGTACTAGTTACTGGAATTGCTCAAAGACATCAGAAATAGAAACGCTCTGTTCCTACTGGAATTTCAGTTAATTGGCCAAGCAGAATTACTGCTTTCTCCGGGCAAGTTTTTGAAAAGACATTATTCCCAGCCTACACCCTGTCTGTCAATACATGATAAAATTGTCTTTCTAAAATAGTTACTTGTGGAGTGGTTACAATGGAGTGATTCTTTCTTAACTACAGTGTGATCAAACATATATGCTGTCAGAAATTGGGAGTAATAACTAAAAGAATACAAGAAGCTGTCTTTACCATGCAGTCATCTGTGCTAAATGGCTGATGTACTGGATGAAGAAATGTTATTTTTACCTATTTGTTAAGGCCATGTCCTAGCTTATTACACATTTGGATTTCCAGAGGAGCTGAGGTTTGTGTACATCCTGAGCTTGATGAAAAACTGAGGAATGGGATGTGGTAACATGACTGTGGATATCACCAGCTTTATCTTCATGTATACTTCAGGATTTGCAGCCTTACACACTTGACAGTCTGAGGTGATTCTCAGCTCTAAATGAGACCTTCAGGCTCCTCTTTCAAAGTCTGGGAAGAGTCAGATACTGTGGAAGGGACTCCTGAGATACTGTCAGAGCTGGAACCTGTGAAAAGTCAACCATGAATAAAACGAAGCTTGGGATGGAATTTGAACAGTCTGGAGTGTATCTGCATGATTCAGATCTCTTGCTTCAGGTGATTTGACAGGACTGCAATACAAGACAGGGTGCTGAGGTTCAGTCTGTTCAGGCTCCAAAAGAGACACAGCTGGGATAGCACGATGCTGAACCAAACAGCCGCCTTCCCCTTGGGCTAAATGCTCTGCTACGTTTTTCACAGCTATGCTGTTTCTGGTTCCGGAGGCAACCAAGTCATCCTTGGCTCCAGGCTGTAGTGCAAATTACACTAAAAGAAGTGGTTGAAACCAGGTGTCTCCCTTCCCTTGAACATTCACTTGGAGCTACCTGTAATCTAGTCTGCACACAGAAGTAGCAAAAGTTACTCTCCTTAATATCTAACTATAATCTTTCCAGTAGGAGTGGGGGAGAGCCCTCATTATGTTCATATTCACATTTCTTCACTTTTGATTAGAAGTAATCACTAACTTTTTATCTACTGTTTAGCAGTAGCAGACCTACTACTCCCTCTGTTTTCCTACAGTACTCAATGGAAATGTGCAGGTAGTTTCTGCAAAACTGCAAGGAAAATGGATGCAAATTTGAGTTAGGTCTCAGATTATGCAGAAGCAGAAGATAAAGTGGCTTGGCAAGTTTAGGAGAGCATGACTCTTCATTTGCATGTATTCTTAACTATATAATATAGTATGCCTCCTTAGCCTCACAGAAAACTCTGGTTTCACAGGCAGAGAAGATGCCTTCTGTGGAGGAACCATGTATTTTATTTATTTGGTATGTCCAGTGCAAGAAACCCACAACCCTATGCAAATATTAACCAAGTCTTGGAGCTGGCCAGAAATCAAAGAGATGATTATTGTTCTGATTATAGAAAAGGGAAAGAATTAAAAAGGAGAGGCTTCAGGCAATAGTTTGGAAGGTACATCAGGTATCTACTTTATCTAAGTGTTTGTTCTAACGAAAACAACAGTGCAGCAAAGCAGCAGACATTTGATCTAACCTGATAGTCTCTCCTTTATTTCTGCCTGAAAGTTTTCTGAATGACTGCAGTTTGTGTTGTCTCAAAGTCAGAAATGGCCCGATCTTAACAGTTCCTGACTACGTCTATGGATCTGGTTCGCATTCGGAACCTCACTGGGGCCCGTAGGCCATGAGAAGTGACACCCTTCTTGGAGGGAGCAAATACACAGAGCCCAAACAAAGCCTGTTCTCTAAATGGCCAGAGAGCTATTTTCTTCTAACTCAAAGTCATGGGTGTTGCCTGACTTGATTAAAAAAAAATAAATTCAATAATCACTGTCCTAACTATGAGATTAAAAATAGAAAAGGTGAAGAGTAGCCACATCATAGCCTTGTCCAAAGTCTAGTAAACTCCTGCAGGATGGACTGAGAAGGTCCTATGAAGAGGTCTCCCAAATCCCCAGAAATGCTCTAACCACCACATTTTTGCACTCTTTATAAAATGGCACTGCTGTTTCCATTTGAAGTGCTGCTCAGTCAGGAAGGGGCTCGAGTTTTTGGGTAACAAATGGGGACATCTACCTTAAAATTCTGACCAGCCTAATCAGCTAAACGAGGTCACAGAATAGGTTTGAACATTTGTACCTGTGCATCCATGTTTGCAGGGATGCTGTTTGCATGATGCCAGTTGCAGCCTCTGGTAACTAGTGCTCTCTTGGCACATGCCTTGAGTCAAGGCAGGGCAGGGAGTGCTACTAATAACCACCAGAGGTAAAGCTACCCTGCAGCAGTGAGGTAGTTCAGCTATACAGACATGAGTCACAGGGCACCACCACAGAGTCAGAAGATGGACCACAGCCCATTCTATTTACTAGGTTAGATTACAGCCTGTGGCACACTTCTCAATTTATGAGAAGACAAGTTAATCCTTTTATGTCTGTGGTAACATGCAAGCCTCCTAAATCCAAATGGGGACAGGAGAGCAGACACATCCCTGTGCCCTGCATATCCAACTAAGTAGCATTTGGGTCTTCAGTCACACACCTCTGCATTCACTGACTGGTCCTTCACCACATGTACTGGGTTGACTCTGGCTGGACACCAGGTACCCACTAAAGCCACTCTCTCCCTCCCCTCTGCAACTGGACAGAGGAGAGCAAAAAAGTGAAGGATTCACAAGTTAAGAGCTGGGAGAGGTCACTTACTGATCACCATCAAGGGTAAAAGAGACTCAAAGTGGGGATATTAACTGGATTTATTACAAATGGGATCAGAGCAAAAGAGCGAGAAGTAAAATAATCTTAAAAACACCTTCCCCCCACCTCTCCTTCCTTCCAAACTCTACCTCCTCCCCCACAGCGGTGCAGGGAGACAGGGAATGGGGGTTATGGTCAGTTTTTGTTTCTACCGCTGATCAGGGAGAGGAGTCCTTTCCCTGCTCCTCTGGGGTCCCTCCTGCGTGAGTCCATCCCTTGGGCAGCAGCTCTTCCCAAACTGCTGTCCCGTGGGTCACTCCTCCATGGGGTGCAGTCCTTCACAAGTGAGCTGTACCGACATGGGTCCCCCACAGGGGCCACGAGTCCTACCTGGGAAAAACCTGCTCCAGCGTGGGCTTCCCTCTCCACAGGCTGCAGGTTCCCAGCAGGACCCTGCTCCATCATGGACCTCCCATGGGGTCACAGCCTCCTTCAGATATCCACCTGCTTCAGCATGGGCTCCTCCATGGGCTGTAGGGGGTCTCTGCACCCCGATGGTCCTCCATGGGCTGCAGGGGCACAGCTGCTCCACCATGGTCTGCACCACGGGCTGCAGGGCCTCAGCTCTGGCGCCTGGAGCACCTCCTGCCCCTCCTTCTGCACTCACCTTGGTGTCCACATAGTTGTTCACTTATTCTCACTCCACTCTTTCCTGGATGGAATTTTCTCTGAGCAATAACTGTCTGTTCTTAAATATGTTATCACAGAGGCGTTACTATCACTCCTGATTGGCTCGGCCTTGGCCAGCAGCAGGAAGTCCATCCTGGAGCTGGCTGGTATTGGCTCCACCAGGCAGGGGAAGCTTCTAGCAGCTTCTAACAGAAGCCACCCCTATGGCCCCTCTGCTACCAAACCTAGACACAGAAACCCACTACACCACACTTAATATACCCTGCCCTTGCAAGTAAAATAAACCTATGCTGTCTGCCTCCCATACTTCCACTGCTTTGTTCAGACCAAGCATCTACTTGTAGGTGTTGTGATGTAGTTGTAGGAGACTATGCAGCTGATTTGTTCCAAATCGCATGACCACAGAGCATCCACTGACTGTTTTCCAGTTCACAGATACACTATACAGAAGAAGCAACTACTGAAACAAAGCCACAGCGCTAAGTGAAGTTCCCTTGTAAATGAGGAAAGCTACAGAACATCTAAGGGAAGTTTTCTACCCTGTGAGACACGGAAACAGTAAACCTAAATCCCCAGTTTTGTGACAGACAGAACTGTGGTACTGCAATCTATGTAATTCTGATTTAAACTACCTAAAGATCTCACCACTTGCCCCCCTTCTCCCACAGTATCTGAGCACTCGGGACCACATCCTAAATGTTCTCTTGACTTCAGAAGTGAAGCTAAATCATAGAACATATAAGAATAATTTTTTAGGAAATTATGCCAAAATAGCCTCAAATCCTTTTTATGATCTATTTCTATAGCAGAGGAGATTGTTTATTCTACTAGCACAGTGCTCTGAAAGATTTCTGTAAGGCTGACAGAAGACTGCCATGCACTACAGCAAAGAGCCCCAAAACTACTTAGCTTTTATATCTTCACTTCCCATCAGTAAGCCCATTCACGGCAGTTAAGTACTCGGATGAATCAGGTCCGAAAAAGCATAGTGAGCAAATGGCTCCTAGAGTCACCCGAGGTGACTAAAAAACTTTTTTTTAAATTTCTGTGGATAAAGGAGATGCCAACTAATGACTGCCTAACACAGTTCTGTATCATTCAGTGATGTGTGACGCTTTATTTAATGTGAGAACATGCAATAAATAATACAGCACCATATCATTTCTAGAGATCACAGTTATGATGTTTCTTCTTGCTGCAGTTTGCTTTCTAAAACCTGTCTGGATGATGTCAAGTCACACAGCAGTTTAATTCCCTGTTCCCCACCCCCTCAGACTTTAACAAGTATTGCTATGATTTTGTTTTCATTAAAAGCCTCAATGGCATTTATATGTAGCATTCTCCTTCAGCACAGGAGGATGGAAAGGTGAAATCAAGCAGCAGATGATTGTTCACCAAAATATGAGTAATCATTTATGTTCCAAGCTAAAATAAATGCAAATAGAAAAAGAGAAAGCACACTGTTCTAATGCCTTCATTTAGCAACTTACTTTTTTTTTTCTTTTAAAAACAAGTTTTGTAAAAACATTTTGAGCCTTGTGAATGCTCACTTTGTTTTTGTTTTCTTTGGAAAGCCTGAAGTGAGACATCTATCCTTTAAACTGCATGTCTTCGCTACTTGCCTTTCCCAGTGGCACAAGGGTGATGGTTATACTCCTCCATTACGTATTCTGGTTTAACCACACAGCTTGTCAAAACAGCCCCACCACTAAAATGAGCTGCAGCTCTAGATTTACACTTCCCATCGTCATCACTTACAGTTACCAATGAACAATTTCACGTCTAATCGCACACATTTCCCCAACAGCTGAACTACTTCACAGTTTTCTGTGTTTTTATTATAACTGGCCCCTTCATTTCAATTGCATCACAGTTGAGCTCAAGTCTGAAATGCAATGCTCCAGCTAGGGCAAGTGCTTATTTTTACTCAAGTAATTACAGAAAAAAGTTGATACTGACATTTACCAAAATATTTCAGAGCACAACCACCACCCACTGAGCTGGACAGGACAATTCATGCCTGCTAGTCTTGTTTTTCCCCTCAGAATATGACTGATTTGACTCATGCCTGACTTTAACAAAATTTCCAGATCTTTGCTAGAATTATAGTTGGTAGGAAAAATGCCTAAACATGCAGCTGAATTTCTGTTCCTATGCCCACATTATTATTTGTCTTTGATGAAAGGATACCGCGAGACATTCTAGACTATTTCATAGCATTTCATAAGTTTAAAACTTTACACGTTGAAGGAACATTCTCTATTATACAGCTGTAAGCCTGCAAGGAACTGCTTTCATTTATTTCATAGACACCTATGAAAATCCCAATTTAGTCACTCTGGATGATTTTTGCTCAACAGCATTAGCAGTGGAGGAGCACTGGTCCTTTGATACTGAAGCTAGAGCAGGAACATTTCTCTGCCTTCCAACAGTCCCACTTGTAGTTTGGTTACTGGTCATGACCCCGTTGTTTATTGTATATGTAAATCGTAAGAATTACTGGAATTTTTATAAATCCCAATTAAATAAAGGGTAAAGAAAAGCCCACCTGTAATCAGACACCATGTAACTGCATGTTAATGGCCTGTTCAGTGCCCTACTGGGATATCTTACAGTAATGCTACAGCCCTATACTAAATATCAAGAGGCTAGTAGACTTTGTAACTGAATAAAATCTATTTATATAATTACAGTAATGACTACAGTTCATACCTTATGCACAGCAAGTAAAAAAACCCAACAAACTAGAGTTTATGTAAATATCACTAATGCACACTATGAAAAAGTAATTCCTGTTAATTAAAAAACACCTCAATTTCAAAAGTTTACCAGAAACAGTTACACTGAGCATTGTAATCTTTGAAAGCAGAACAGAAGTTGTTTACAAGGATCCAGCAGTAATTGATATCCAGCTGCTTGGAGCTGGGCTGCAGATTGAATGTGTACTGAAAGCTGGGCTGAAATCCCCTCTCACTTGATGGCAGCAGCAGTCATGCTGCTGTTTCCTACGAGCTGGAATTTCACCCCAATCTTTACATTCTTTGTCACTTATAGTGAAGCAGCCAGAAGACAATGATTAGAGAGTAGCCAAGTAGACTCACAGTTCAAAAATATAATCTTCAAGCATCTGTAAGGTCTAGGGGAAGGAGGAAGGGGTTTATAGCACAGTTAAAGTGAGTCTCTGTAAAAATTTGGGAAGTGGCCATTTCAGTAACAGAGCTGATAACAGGACACTGCACACCACTTAGAGAAACAAGTATATCTGAAGTTCAGTCCTTGGTCAAGACACCGTCGTATTGGCTCTTGACAAGAAAGGAAGGCAAGCACAGTGTGTGAACAAGTAAGTGCATGTATGCACACAAGACATTCCAGGAGCTGAACAATTTCTCTGCATACATAAAAGACCTTACTGAGAAAAAAAAATAGCAAAGGTTTTTGGCATTTAAACAATTGGCTACATGAACTTGATTTCAAATCCAACTTTACACATTCTTGATAAACCAAAAAGCCACAACACTGAAGATGAAACATTTTTAGCACCATCTGTTGGCTTGCAAGTGAATACTTACTCACAAGAAATTAGTATAGAAAGACACGTTATCTTTTACTGAGAAGCATCTTGTTTTAAGGCAATATACAAAATCACAATATAGCCACCACAGAAACTGCTCCGATAATCCCTGATACTTCATGGCACTCACACAGGTTCCACTGCTGAGGGAAGGCAGGAATTAAATTGGTGTCTGTCCTCCTCCTCACTGCCATGTTTTCTGGAACACTGGGAATGTCCAACATCTGTAGGTCACTAGCTGTCATATGGCAAGACAGTTTCTTCCTGTATCTCCTAAATCCCTCTGTCGCCATTTATATTAGCCGCACTAGCCACTATCAGCAGCAAGGAAATTGGCAAGGAGTTGCCATATTTCCTTACCACTAACCCAATTAAAAAGTTGTTCAATACTGTAGCAAGCATTTACACAATTAATACAACTGACAGATTTGTGAACATTTCTCAGAAGGGAAATTACTTTAGCCAGTCTAGCCAGATGTGCTCCTGCAGCACAGAGGTTGGTTTTCCTTCTTTGCTATCAAAAAGAGTCAGTTTACTCACTTGCATTTCCACTAAAGAGTATTTTAAGAATGGACACAGTAATTTCTGAATATATACTATATTTATAAAAGAAAGAGGTAAGCAGCTTGTTTCCCATTTCCATCACTTTGTGGAACTCCATCATCCATTTTTGTTAATAGTTATGGCACCCAGGTATGCAGCTAAGAAATTGAAGAATCTGAAGGATGTAGTCAGAATCACTTATTGCTAAAGACAAGGAACAGAACTGCATTGCAAACCTACTTTTTTCAACGATTTAAAGGTGTGTTAAAATATACCAAGATTTTCAGGAAATCTGTTACTTGGCTTACACAGTAAGCTATGCCTTGTGCACTGTGTTCTAGACAGAGTTGTATTTTAAAATGGTGCACAAGGTTAAGAAACTTTACACGACATCGATGAGTAATCTGTGCTTTCATAAATACAGTAGTATACATCCTATATACAGATGCCAGTTGCACGCCTCCAGGAAGGCTGTCAGCCAGCCATCCACAGGAAGAAGGGAATAAAGATAGTGGGGAGCGTGGTGGAGGGTGCCAAACCTAGGCAGACTATTGACGCTAGTCCCACAAGCACTGACGCGAGCACGCTCCTCTGGTCCCGAATAATCATCTTCACAGTCTCACAGAACTGGAAAAAAAAAAAAAAAAAAAAGGGCAAAAGATGAGAGTTGAAGAGGAAAGCTTTGGCTGGAGAGCTGGCGATGCCCACTCCCTCGGGACAGACCAGCGGCTGCTGTCCCAAGTCTCACACGGGCTCTCCAGAGCCCAGCACGAGGGCTGGCACCGCATCACCCCCAGCATCAGCCCCAGTGCTGCCTGCGGCTCGGGCTGAAGCCAGTAGTTTCGGAGCATTTTAAAAGAGTACTAATCGAACTACGAATTCAGCTTCGCTCTCCTCGCCGCTCGAAGGCGGCGGGGCCCGGCTCCGCACCGCCCCGGGCAGCTCCGCGCCGGCGGCACTGCCGGCCGCGGGCACAGCGGCGTCAGCTCCGGGCGGGGAACCCCCGCCCCGGGGCCGCGGCTGACCCAGTTTCGGGGAACGGCAGGAAGGGCAGCACCGCCCCCCGCCTGTCCCGGCCGCCCCGCGGGCCAGGCCGTACCTTGTCGGTCTGAAAGCTGACCGGGGCTCCGTATCGGCAGTAGGTGACGAAGTGCTCGCAGTTGTTCCAGAGCAGGCTGTAGGCCGTGGTGCCCATCAGCTTCTCCGCCCGGCGCGCCGCCTCCTCGCTGCCCAGCACCTGGTCCTCGAAGAGCCGGTCCATGTGGTTGACCAGGATGCTGCCGCCGTAGGCGAAGTTCTCCACCGTGTCCACGCGGACGCTGGCCGTCCTGGCGATGACGCCCAGGATAAGCCGCTTGTTGGTCACCACCTGCTGGATCTGCCGGAGGTCGTCGGTGAAGGAGGGCAGGATGTCGGGCATCAAGTGGGCGACGCGGTTCTCGCCCAGGTAGATGCCGAAGTGAATAAAGAGGGTGCGAGGCACCTCCAGAAGGTCTCCCCGTTTGAAGCAGCTGGTGTCGTAGTCGCCGGGGGGCGGTGGCGTTGTCTCCCCGCCGGAGCCCGCGAGGAAGGGCCGGACGTGGACGAGGAGCATCATAAGCTTCTCCAGCAGCAGCGAGGCTGCCTGCTGCACCGGGTTCTTCATGGTCGGCCGGCAAAGCCCTCGGCGCCCGGCTCCGCTTTTCTAGGCTCCCGGTGGGGCGGGGCAGGCACCGGGGCCGGCCCACCGGCTGAGCGGCGTGCGGGGACCGCCTGCCCCGGACCGGCTGGGCTTTATTGGGGAGCGCGGCGGGCCCCCGAGCCGACCCACTGTCCCCCGGCCTGTCCGCGGCGACGCCACAGTGCCCACAGCCCGCACTCCGGGGCCGGGAGCCACCCTCACCTCCCGCCCCGCCTTCCCTCGGCGCTGCCCAGGTAGAAGTGCAAGGAAAAGTGCGTTGGAAGCCCTTCTCCCGCCCTAGGGAGAGCAGGGAACAGAGAGCCCCGCCCGGGGCCGCAGTTGCTTCGTTCACCTTCCCCCTCCCGTGGGACCCCAGGGGCTCCGGGGGCCGCCCCGGCAGCCGCGGGGTCCAAGCGGCACCCAGTGGGATCGGGGCGGGCGGGCTGGCACAGTGCTCACAGGGGGGCGGGAGAAGGGAGCCGAGCGTCTTTCTTCCTGGAAAGAAAACAGGTCTCCGAGGGAGAGCGGGAAGTCACATTTATAAATTAACTTGCCCGAAGGGTCCGCCAGCTAAAAAAGAGTGGGAATCGGCGGAGCGGCATTCCCGTCCGCTCAGTTTCATGCTAATCCGTTATGCAAATGGCCAAATCCTGGCAACGGAGCCCACAAAAGAGCAGCCCTGTCAGGTCAACAATGCCGCCCCGGACGAGGCTCGGAACTTTCAGTAGCCAGCAGGTTCCCGCCCCCTCGGGGACGGCGGGATGATGGATGGGACAGGCATTCATCTTACCTGGAAGATGACAGGGCCCGAAGAGTGGCAGAGGAGGGGGCCGCCCCCCCCCGCCGCCGTGGTTGCAGCCTTTCCCCGAGTCCCCGCCGCCGGGACCTTTGTTCGTGTCGCAGCCGCTCCTGCCCCGCTCCAGCCGCTCCGGCTGCAGGGGGGAGCTTTCGCCTCCGTGAGAAACGCGGAGCGGGCGCAAGAGTGAGGGGATATGCGTGTGAGAATGCTAGAAAAGTTTGTTGGAGCATCTTCCCTTAAACTCAGGAAAACATGGCAAACACGAGATGCCAAGTGGGAAACAGGGAAGCGAGATCTGCTGGTGTGCAACAGCTTGGCGGCTCTCCACAGGAAAACTGCCTTTGAACAGTAGGTTATTTTTCTCTCCTCCGTCACTTTAAATCCGAGAGCCTGTGGATCACTAATGAGATCCCTAGACCACCCTCGAGCTGTAGAACCCCTTTGGTCACACCACAAAAAAAAAAAAAAAAAAAAAAAAAAAAAAAAAAAAAAAAAAAAAAAAAAAAAAAAAAAAAAAAAAGTTCACCATTCCTTTTTCTTTCCATTAGCAAATGGCTCTGGTATGACTAGGAAGGCAAAGGGGATGCAAAGTACTCATCAGGCAAGAGCCTTCTACCACCATAGATACAGAACCAAGGTTCAGGATCTTATGCCCAGGAAAGGTGAAACTTATCAATGACCCAACCCAAGTTTTTCACTTCCTTGGTGAAGAAAATATTTCAGGGGAGTGGGTTACCTCACTGCTTGTCAACCAAATGATGGCTGGTGCTTTCCCATTTCCTCCTGCTTGAAGCAGAGAGCAGCTTCCTGGGAAACTGAATATAATCCTCACCTTGCTTCATCTGCAAAGAGGGAGGCCCACCATAACCTCTTGTTCCATTGCTGATTACATGCCAGAGCCCCAGCACTACTTAACAGAGTGATCAGGCATTTGGGATTTTGTCTGGAGAGTCTCAGCCAAATTTTTACGCAACAGAGGCTTACCCTTCTCAAGCCCCCGACTTCACTTACAAAAGAGAAAATACCTTATAGATGTGGCTTACGATGCTGGCAGGAACCCTGTGGATTAGCCACAAGCCACACACAATTATATAAATTAAACCAGTGTACTTGCAAATTCAGATGTTTAAATATATTTGGAAGGTTTGCTACTAGTAAATAAAAACAGGGGGAGGAGGGGGAAACTACTAATTTTTAACTAGTGCATTATTTTTAAGGGACAGGGGAAAAGAAAAAATGCCTCATCCTGATGAAGGGTCTCACCTGTTGGTGATAGTCACAGCAGCTGGTCCAGAGCTGGAGCAGTGTGCCACAGAAGGTTGTCAAACATTCCATAGAACGTCTGGGCACAGAAAGGTTCCTGTCTCCCTCCTGGGAGGATGTGCACTATTCCTGCCCTGTGCTGCCATCTCAAGATTCCCCCTCTCCCCCAAAGCTGTCTAGGGAGCATCTGGATGGTCTTTGTTGAAACAGGCGCTAGAGATGCTTCAGTCCTACAGTTCAGAATTCTTTCCCCTGCCCAAAGAAGGTAGAGAAATTCAACTAAACTCCCTGGCAGATACAGACATTTCCCAATGGGATCTTTCTCTTGGAGGCATCCTTTGTTTGCTTTCTTCACGCTAGTTAGCTTTAATCCCAAAATCACCAGGGTCCATTTCAGGTAAATCCGTAAAGGAAACCAGGATGAAATCGAAGAAGAGGAATTGCCACAAGAAGACTCAAAGTCTTCCTGCATGGGAGGGTTTCAAAGTTTTAAGGTGAAAGGTGTTACATTTATGCAGTGTAATTTCCTAGTACCTAAAGGCACTAGCGAGTCTCCTCTCTTCCTCACCCCCCCAACCCCTCGGTCAGTCCCAAGCCTGGAAACCCCAATGAACAAGCCCAAAAGGCATTACAGAGCAGACAGGTCTGTGGAATGGGTTGCAGCAAGTGAAATCCATCCACATAATGCTTTGCCACTACCTTGTAACTGTTGTGAGCATTACTGTGTGCAAAGCATTTAATACAATACAAAGTAATTTCTGAATTAAACCAGATTCTTGCAAAGCAACTTGCAATCCAACATTTTCTCCTTTCAAACCCAAGGGGCTACACTCCTATTACTGCCAAATTTCCATAATGTAAACTGAAATTTAAAAGGTATACTTACCATTATTTTTCATCTGCTCTGAAGTAGGAAAAAAACCATTTATTTTAGTAGAAAAATGGCTCAATGGGAGATGGCAAAACTAAAAACACACATTGTGCATCAAACACTAGCACATCCTCTTGGGTGACCTTTGAATAATAGCTTTTGTACCTATAATACACAAATTTAAGTGGAAAAAACACTGGGGAATATTAAATATAAATCAGCAAACACTGAGAAAGTATTTGTTTGGACTGTTAACTGCTATGGAACAATTTAATGATAAAACCCATGCTTTAGTCTCAACAGTTAGGGTGAGATGCAGTAAGAAAACTGCAAGAGGTAAGAGAATGCAGCCTTTGTTCAGTAGTGCAGATGAGCCACGGCACAAAAACTTCTTAGGTAAGAAGTGTGAGCCAGTTTCCATTACACTGAAACTCCTGCATTACAAGGAACCTTATTTTATGCACTCGGCATTACTATTTCCATCGTGCCCTCACAGCTAACACAGTAGGGAAAAAGCAGGAAAGGCAGGCAATTGGAAAGGTTAAGTTCTTGCTTATATGAGGAACAGACCTGGTTTAACAAGCAGGCAAAATGAATTTTTTAGCTGACTTAAGTTAAACCAATGCTGGTTGCAAACATGCTCACCATTTGACATTTTACCAACCATTTCTCCATTACTCAAGTTTTACTGTAGATTAAGAAACAAATGCAGCTTTCATGTCTTTTGGGACAGCTGAAACAAGTATAGTTTCATGAATTCAAACCACCTTAAGGTATTCAAGGAGAATAAAATCTTTGGATAGAGGTTTTTGGAAGATATAATTTGCAAGAAAATTATCTGAAAAGCAATGCCACTTGGTTTAAGCTGGTGTACTGAAAGAAGGAATGGACAGAAAACATGTTTGTGAAGGATGGTTTCACAGCATCCAAAAGGGCTATTCCAGAGATATAAAATAACGCCTTTGTATTCCCATATCCAACCCATTTGAACACTGTACCATTCTTTTCAGCAAATTACAGCTTCCATTGTAGAGTTATAAGTAACCAGGTCTCTAGAAAACAGTATCATTTACCTTTCTACTTTTTGTATTTAACAAAGACTAGGGACAGAACAGACAAAATCTGAACAAAGAAGGAAACCGGCAAGACAATGCATGAAATTGCAGGCAAGTGAAACAATCCCAAACAAAGAACCTTTGAGCTAAGTATCACTCTCTTCCTGTAGAAGATAAATGACTAAAACAAATTTATACTTTATAAATATTCATTTTTATTCAGAAACTTATTGCATACACATTTCCACAGTCACTTAAGCAGCATATTGAGTGAATAATTACTGTAGCGTTTTTATCCTTGTAGGTTTGTTACTGAGGCCTATCACTTTTGTTTTATTTTCCTCTTAATAGGCTTCCAAATTATTAACAAGAGTCTTCTAACAAACAGTGACTGTAAACATAATAAAACCTGCATGCCATTTTCCCTTTGAAGTTATTAACTTGGATATTTTTCTGCAATGAAGTAATGACTCATTTTTTACAACCTCACTGAACCATGCTGTAAACATGGATAGTACTTATAACTTGCTCAGAGGATAATGTATTTAGATGGATAAAGCATTCACTTATGATACCTTCAACTCAAATGAACAAAACTACAGAAAAGGTGGGAATGACTCATTGCCTAGTCCTGCTTAGCAAGCAGGAGGCTAGGAAATCAGTAACAGTAATAGCACAGACGGAGCTTTAGGAACAACTAACAGATAGTTTAGGTGACAATTAAGAAATACTTACTTTTATAAGTTTTGTCTGGTAGTAGTAATGTCTCATTTTGTTAGCACTAAACAATACAATTTCCCCCCAAAAACCAGAAAGATTAATTTCTGATTATAAAATGGCTGAACATGCGGAGTAATATTTTTATGGCTTCGGCAGAGAAAATACAGTTATCAGAACTTCCACCTTGATATTGTCCCAGAAGTATAATACAGATTTTTGAGCCTCTTCTAAATCAGGTGAAGAAGTTTAGAAGTATCCTAATTTGAATATGCTAGTCATATTGTGCAGGAAGATGGGCAGGTGATAACTGGGAGTCAGAAGAGAGACAG